AGAATTGGTTCAGGATGCAGGATCAATTTTTAGTGCATTATTTCATGAACGTATTACAAGAATATATATATAAGGGTATTACAATTACAATATGGTAATTATGGTACTTCTTAAATGACTAGCCTCTATTAACGGAATGTACAACAAGAAATAGGTGGAGGAGATCAATTCACAATCATACTATAATTAGCTCTCGTCAACACTATTCAAACTCCGTTCATGAAATACTTGACGAATATATTGGATAAGCCTATGTTGCACATTCTCTGGAAGTCAACCAAATGCATGCATGAAGTTTCCCATGTCCCTGCATATCGTCGGAAAATCTCTCTCCTCGTGGTTGACGTTGATGATGCGCAATGTCTTATAACGCTCGTAAGCATCAACCATTAATGTGAATCTGAAAGAAAAACCATGATGAAACAACTAAGGAGAGTGTTTGCGTTGAGAGAGAATGATGGAGAGAGAACGATGGAGAATGATGGAGAAAAAAAGATGGTTTAATTTGTAAAGAGAGTTAGAGCGCCAATATATGGTTTGGTGTGGATTGGCCTAACGAAGAGCATATCTATAAATTGTCTCTTATGATCACAAGACGCGTGATGCATCTCCAAGGTATTGAAGACGGAAGTGAACCCAGCTTAATAGTAAAAATTTGGATTATTATTATGATAAAATACTTTTTTTTCAAAATAAAGTGTTTTTTTTAATTTTGTATTTTATGAGTTTTCAATTTATACTTGATTGAAAATATATAGGTTCATATCAATATGATAAAAGCTCATGGTAATAAACAATTTTTTTAAAGCTTAGGTTTAAAAAACTAATACAACTTATTTTATTCGCTTGAAAAAATTAATATTATAATGCTATACCATATTTTCAGTGTTAATTGCCTCGTATCATAATGTAGACAAATAGCAAATTGGAAATGAACTCATAAATAAATGTTATGCTATATATGTTACATTCACATGTATGTTCTACCATCCATCGATCGTACCTCCATTATATACCTATAAAACCTTTTTATTTCACAAATAAGTTTTTTTTATAATCACTTTTACTCGAATTGAAATATGCATGTTGTATATTTTTTTGTTCTAAAAATGATAATTTGCATATTAATATCCTTGTACTATCCAAGTCCAGCTCTATTTTAATTTAAGTATTATGATCAATTACTTCAAGTTTTATATATAAAAAAATGTAATGATTAACAAAATTTTCTAATCGTGTAGCACTTTAAATATCTAATTATTAAGTCTAAGAAGAAAACGCTGCAATTAATTACGAAGGAAACACCAAAGGGACAATAGCCTAGCGGTATCGAGTGACCACCTCATATGAGATGTCAGGGGTTTAAGTCTTAGTAGAGATATAGATGATTATTTAGGAGTAATTAGTTAGTTTGCAATTTAAAAAAAAAAACAATATATCTAAATCAACTAATCAATATCCAAATATTTTCTTTTTCTTGTTTCTTAAGATTCTTCTATGGAAAGCTAATTAAGTAAACAAGAAAATAAATAGACGACCTCTTAATAATCTCAGAAGATATTAAACGCATAACTCTAAAGTAAGTATATTATAACTGTTTTAAATAATTAAACTTGATGATCATTTAGCATTTAATTAAAGAAATTCAAATTTAGGAAAAGAATAAGAAAATTTACCGTTGAAGTCATTTTCATATTTACTTAGATGTTAAAAACAGATCTATTTTAACTATTTTTTGAGCAATAGTTACTTCAAGTTTTTTTTTTTTGGAAAGGGAACTTCCTAACGATGGTTTCCGGGCCAGCTTTCGCGCACCGACTAATCCCCCGCTGCAAACATAAAGCTTTGCCTCATGCGCTGGAGTCACTGCAGGCGAACCTCCATGGCCACAAGGGCTGAGTGGTGCCAGGATTTGAACATGGGTCAATAGGTTATCCACCATATCTTCCACATGTCTTACCAAGTCACCACAACCCAAGTGGTTTACTTCAAGTTTTTCTATACAAATTACATTGAGTAACCAAATTTTCTAATTTTTTTTTCTTACTACTCCACATGTTATCAAAAAACGTCTTATGCCAAATATTTTAGTTTTCTTGTTTTTCTTTTAAGATTCATCTGTTGAAAGCTAAACCCCCAAAAAAGACGGCCACATAATAATCTTAAAAGATATAGTATACTGTTTTATTTTAATAGTTATTTAAATCATGCATGGGTATGACTCACCTTTACCTTCTTCAAACTGACCGGCATTTCTTTCATGCATTCTTCCTACCAAAAATATAATAAAACAAACATGAGTAAATAAGGTAGGAAAGATTTGCAGAAATTAAAGTGTAAAAAAAGTTGTATACGCTTGACACACGTGAGTCATCTACATCAGACTCGGAAGGAAGCAAAGAATTACAAAAATTGGTCAATTGCTTTGGACTTGTGTCAACACCTTCAGAAACCACAATAGCTTTATTTTCATCTTGGTCCTTTATATTCTTTGAAAAATCAACTCCATAATTAATAAGCCTGTTAATTTAATACACACAAATAATGCTCTAAATAAAATTTAAAAAAAAAAAAAAAAAAAAAAAAAAAAAAAAAAAAAAAAAACTAGGGATAATGACTTGAAAGGGTAACGAACTTTCGACTTTTTTCATATTTAGTTACTAAATTTTTTTTCGTTATCTATTTGCCATTGAACTATTGAAACTGTTCACATTTTACCCTTATGACTGGTTGTTACCGGTCATAAGGGTAAAATTTGAACAGTTTCAATACTTTAGTGGCAAATAGATAACGAAAAAAAGTTTAGTGACTAAATATGAACAAAATCGAAAGTTTGTTTCCCTCTAAAAAGTTCAATGACTAAATGTGAACAAACTTCCTCTTGTATTATGTTTTAGCAAATTATTTATTTTTGTAAAATTGTAGCAACATTTGTTGATGAAGAAATCTATGAAATAAAAAAAAACAAACAAACAAAAAAAACAAACAAAAAAAAAACAAAATCCTGAAAATATATTTAAAAAAAAACAAAAAACCGAAACCGAAATAAAAAACCAATGGTTTGATATTTTCCAAAATAAAAAAATCAAATTTTCCAATCTGATTTTGGTTTTACAAAAAAGTGAACCATTCTCACTGATGTGAATTATAACCATTGGTTTGACATGCGGAATTCGTGACATCCCATAAATACGTAGTTACAACATCGTCTGAACTCGTAATTCATAGTAAGGGGTTAGAGTATCATCGCATGAATATGTAGTTACAACATCGCCTGAACTTGTAATTTATCACCTATAGGTTATGAGCCTGCTGATTTTTCCACTGGGTTGTTTAGAATAGTCTGTGGTCGCCATCTATACTTTGGTAGATGACTATATCGCCACATTGCTGGTTAAGGTTATGATATCTCCTTTCATCCTACGTTACTTATTCATCATCATCTATTTACCTAATTATCATCACCTATCTCTCATCATTTTATTTCATCACACACCAATTATTTCATCTACCCATGTTTCATCCACAACATATTTGTAGATATATAATAAATATACCGTTTAAATCTTTTAAAACATGTATAAAATCGTTCATCAAGCATAGACAACAAGTATTCAAATAATATGAACACATAGCACGTAATTTATATAAAATACTTCATATCTATGTGTAAAATGAAAGTAATTATATATACCATAAAAATCCCATAAATGCTTCCTAAATTCAAACCCCAAGTTTACTCTACTAAAGTATCATATTCTCGGCTCTCTGGACCCAGAAGGGTCTAGATTCCTAACTTCAAACCTTAACATTTACTCTACTAAAGCTTCATATTCTTGACTCTCTGGACCTAGAAGGGTCCAGATCTATAACACAAAGTTGCAAAAGGTGTTTGAGGCATTCAAAACCTTAAAGATGAAGTGATTCAAGCCCTAACCCCAAAATGGAATCTACACAATAGGGAAGGAAAGGGGTTCATTTTTGTACCTCGGAATGAAGCTCCTTGCTTGAATAACTTAGAACAATAACCTTCCTTGGTCCCTCTTGCTGGAACTCTTCTCCTTTCTTGCAAAATCACACCAAAAAGCTCAAGATAGCTCTTCCTCTCATTCTACACACTCAAGCTCGCTAGGGTTCTCACTTATGGGAAAGGTAGTCGCAATTGAAGGCCATAAGTGCCTTTAAATATGGCTCGGGCCCAAAGATTTAGGGTTTCTGCCAACAGCGCGGGCTCGTCGAGTCGCCTCACCGACTCGTCGAGTCCATTCATTAATCCGAAGCATCAGTCGTGACCTTACTCGATGAGTTGAGGCACTAACTCGTCGAGTCTCTCTTCTTAACTCAAAAGAAAAATACTTAAATTATGATACCCGGAAATCCGGATGTTACATTTTGTTTTTTTATTTCATAGATTTCTTCATCAACAAATGTTGCTACAATTAAACAAAAATAAATAATTTGTTAAAACATAATACAATAGGAAGTTTGTTCACATTTAGCCATTGAACTTTTTTGAGGGAAACGAACTTTCGATTTTGTTCACATTTAGTCACTAAACTTTTTTCGTTATCTATTTGCCACTAAACTATTGAAACTGTTCACATTTTACCCTTATGACTGGAAACAGCCGGTCATAAGGGTAAAATGTGAACAGTTTCAATAGTTTAATGGCAAATACATAACGAAAAAAAAGTTTAGTGACTAAATGTGAACAAAGTCAAAAGTTCGTTACCCTTTCAAGTCAATGCCCATCATGTTCTTCTTAGGCCATCTCCAATGGGATGCATTGGAGATGGTCTTAGCTTCTAAGATTTGCTATTTATTCCTCAAATAGCTTCTTGGATAAAAACTCCCTATCAATTAACAAACGTAAATTAAGTAAATTAACATATTATACTTTAGTCAAATAAATCCATTAAATTTAATACGTTTTGATGTCTGGAACTTCTTCTTTGAGATGATTAAGTTCTTTTGCCATGATCGGATCCTAGATAGGAGAATCACCGGGATTCCAACCACGGGGGAGTCCAGAAGGAATCTCTATCTCCGATGTCTTTCCTAATTTTTAGAAGATCAGCACTTTCAAGCCAATATTCCATTGCACCATCAGTATTATGTGACCTTCGAAGCCTTAAATTTCCACCAGGCGCCACCTTGTTTGCCACGATTTTCAGAAGATGGTCTAAGCTACCAGTGTGATCTTTCCTCTTTTGAACTTCAACTCTAAGCGCGGGTCTCGTAATCGGATTCCCAATCATCGCGTTCTTCTCTTTCATAGCTTCTAGAAGACTGAGCTCCGCCGCTAGATACCTCTCCTTTGACTGTGGGGTCTCTAATGAGCCCTAATTTCTTGCACTTGTTCATGGCTAAATATCGGTTTTAGACAATTTTTTGGGATTGAATTCCAAAATATAGACATGGATTCCTCCGAACTGTAGTTACGTGGAATGATAAAATCATAAATAAATCAGGGTATTAAAAAAACACTTTAAGATCCATTCCGCGGAGCTATCTCCGAGGAATGGATCTTTAGAAAAAAAAATTCTCATTCAATAATTCTTTTATGTAAAGATCTTCGATTAACAGACTAATTCTTTCTACTTCACATTCATTTCAAATATTGTCAAGAACAAACCATATTATCACTAATCTTTTCTTGAAAATATTTAGTTGGAGAATGAGTATAAACCACGAAGAATCGATATGAAAAAAAAAAAAATCTGAAGATCCATTCACCGGAGCTATCTTCACGGAATGAGTTCATTACTCGGAGGTAGCTCAGTGGAATTGATCTTGAGGTTTCTTTTAATACCTTGATTTATTTACGATTTTGTCATTCCGCAGAGCCAGTGGCGAATCTAGAATAGAATTGCACGTGATTCCTAATTAAGTGCAGACGGAAAAACCAAAGAGTCAACGTTATATATGATATATCGGGTCGGGTCGAACCAATAAAAAACGATCGATTTGTAAAAACTGCTAAAAACTAGTAAAATCACTCTACTCAACCCTAAAACCTTATTTTTGCAACAAAAAAAACAACGACTTTGCACGACCGAATCTCTTTCTTTTTTAAAAAGTTCGTTTGCAACAACCATTTTGCACGACCAACAATATGAGAAGAATTGTGTTGTTTTTTAAATTTCCTAATAACCATTCATAAGTTATTTTTATAACATCAAACAACTTCAACTCTCTCTTTATCTTTCATGTGTGATAAGTTTTGAATGTATTAACCATTTGCTTTGAAATTTAAATATAAGTCCGTCATTATTTTATTATTTATTTATTTTATTATTCTACCAAATAGTATTAGGTAGTTCCTAATTTTTTTTAAAGATAGTTCTTATTTTTTTTCCTATATAAATACTATATAATATTAAAAAATTAGGTGGGTCTTAGGACCCACCTTGCTTGTAAGTGATTACGCCCCTTCGCGAAGCTTACCTCTACGGAACCCATGTCTATACCTGGAAATCCAATTTTTTATGTCTATGTTTTGGAATTCAACCCCAAAAAATGTCTATAGCCATTATTTTCCCTTTTTATTTGCTAGCCATACTTGTCTCACACGCTTATTTTTGAAATTTTCTTGTTTTTTTCAACCTAATCATCACCCTTCACTTCATCATCAACTTCCTTCTCTTCCTCATATCTACCATTAACATATTGCTCATTTTTTTAGTTTATCTTTGCCATGAATGAAGCTTGAAGAAGACTGGGTTGTTTTGCTCGTATCTTTGTGTCTTCCAATAAATATAACTTGTCTTCTTACACCCCACCTTACCATTGCATTGTTCTTCAACTCCTTCTCCAATTCGATCTCTTTAATCTTAATAGCAACATGACCCGACCCGACTAGAGTGTTTGGGTTAACCAGCCAGAAATTCTGCAAATGCTTCTTCTCGGCGAATTCTTGAGATGGAACTTACCTAAAAAGCACTTTGTTGGTGAGTTTTACTCCCATTACAAACATCTCATCTAAAGCAGGATACATCTTCGTAATGACAGAATGCTCGGATAATTAATCGCGACGTTCAAATCTGTTTGTCACTCACCTGAAAATGATCATTATCAATCAGTCAGAGGAAAACATAGTTAAATCCCATCAATAAAACAATTTTATTTGTCAATGATTCACAAAGTGATTGATTACCATAATAACATGAACAGATCTCAGCTGAAGATGAGTTCTAGGAGGAAGGTTTTTATGGTAGATCTCGTAAATGGAGCCTGGTTGGACCTCTTCTTCTTGGTTTTCATCCGCTTCACACATGAAATAACGAGAAGCCATTATCGATAATCGGGAAAGGAAGAATTGAAAGAAATAGTTTGGATCTAGCTGTATTAGGTCATTCGTTATACTCACCACTAACCACTATAGTGGTGGGTGCCACATCACCACCACATTCTCTACCACTAAATATGGGATACCTACCACTAAACACACAACTCCACCTCATTTTTTAATTAAATTTAATTCAAAATTACATCAAAAACATATAATTTTTTTAATACTAATTATAAAAATAAGTTATTTAATAATAATAATAATAATAATAATAATTTAAATAAATCAAATTACTTAAATAATTAGGAAATAAAAATCCAAGGTTTATTTTGTCATTTTATAAACTATTTATGCTAAAGGATTTCTGGTCAGATGTGCTTTCTATCAATGGACTATATCTCAGGGATAAAAGTTGTCAAGACTTACAAACTATGTCTAATTCCCCAACAAAAATACCCAGCTCGCATGCGCTCATTTTCTCTGTTTCTGTTCTTCAAATGAGCAATCCAACTCCATTGGTCATTTCGATTTTTGATGCCCACCACTGAAGACCATGAGCACGGAGAACCACGATGGTTCGGGCTAGTGTGCACGGACCATGGTCGTGGCCTGCTAGACCACAATACCCACCGTGGTCTGTATATGGTTGGTCTTATATGCTAAAAGGATAAGTTTGAAATTATACATTTCCTTTAAAGTAGGAATTGTCTGGCCAAAGGTGATATATGTGCTTGTGCTCCGTCTAGTACGCTGGTTATTTCTTGCCTTTTCAAGCTCATTATCTCTTGCACCCATTAATGCTTTTTATTACATCTCTCCTCGGTGATAAAGGACGATAGAGAAGAAAAAAAACAATACGGATTTCAGAAACAGAAAAAGCAAATTTCTTATTGTAATACGAAAAAAACAATAGTATTAGGCATGCTCATCATGATATGTTTAAGGTAAAACATCAATTTAATTTAAAAACCTAAACTCTCGTTTATAAAATCCAAAATCCCTTTGTGTGTACGCTCGTCTCCATGTTTAAGGTAAAAGGCGAAGGTTTCGGACAAACTATCATGAACTCATTAAGATATTGTCATCCGTATGAACAACACGTATATATAAGACAAATACAAGGGTTAATTTAGATTAAATAGTGGAGGAAAGAAATGATTTTATCTATTAGGAAGGAGAAAAGAAAATGTTATTTGTCTTGTCTAAAGGATTAGATTCAAATGGATCTTAACTTGTAACACCTCAGTTTTCAAAGAGTACTTAAATAACAAAATAGTCGTTCCAATATCTCTCGGATCAGTTCTAACCCTTATTATTTTCTAAACTATCGTGGAAACAAGTAAAATAAAATAAAATCTTCAGCTAAACAACTTCATGTGTAACGTCTTCGTGAAACTCCTCTATCATGTCTTCGTGAAGCTTCACTATCATCTTTTTGATTAAGTCTGATTCTCGGCTTTTCCACATGTCACTTGCTAAATACTTTAAAGTTTATAAATGGATAAGCCTAGGGCCTAGTGAGTTCATGTAGCACATACATGTCTATCACTAAAAAAACAAAAATATTTTTATCATATATTTACAATAAATCATACAACAAAACAAATCACCCAATCACATGATTTAGGGGTCGATTAATTATACAAAGAAAGAACCAAATGCTCGTTTCCCTTCCCCTTGGCACAACCTATCCTTTGTACAAGGTATTTAAATATCTAAGGAAATGAGTATAATTCCAAATTTTCATCATTGTTGATCACACACATCCGTCATGATCACGCCCATCTGTTTCCACTAAATATGTCATCCTATGTCCAAATAACATTTGACAGCAACTATAATTATCATAAAGTAAATTATCAATAAATAATTGAAAACCACGTATAAACCGCTTGATAAACATTCACATGCGACCAATCACAATACACAAAAAAGCTCACCTTACAATCAGTAAGGCTTAACTGAAGCTTTGTTGATAACTGTAACACCCACAGATTCGAGCTAGTTAATCTAAGTATTATAAGCGTTCAAATTTGACGTTTTGATAGAAGATTAATTAAGATAAATAATCTTAACTAGAGTTATAATATATGTGACAATGATTTCGTACATATAAAGAACGCTTAAATTTGACTTCGTGAGAGGAAGTTATGAATTTTCAAATATTTCAGCGTATCAGTATACAACTTATACACTGAAATTAGAATCGATCGATTGTTAGGAAAAAGAAATTTAACAAGAGTTAATAATCTCATTTATGCCTATCCGTCGACATAAAGATAGTCGAGAATGGTTCTCAAATAAGAGAGTTATGGATTTTTAATGGACTTTAACAGTCCAAGCCTTTTAAATATAAAGTCTTCAAAATAAATTCAAAACTAGCCGACAAAGTCTAAATGAAAGTTGTAGATTTCATCCACAACTACTCGTGAATATAAAATCCATCGAAAACAGAGCTCGTATGAAGAAGATATGATATTTATAATAAACATAAATTCTTCGCGCACACCCACGTGCAACGAAAGGGTGTGCCGCATGCACTGTCACTCCACCCAAAATATGACACGTGTCACCATGCAGAAATCGACACGTCATCACTTTCGACCAATTGAACGGCGTGCAGGAGACATATGCATGGCGTGCAATCCAAATTTAACTGTAAATACCAGTCAAAATTCAGTCCATTCCCATACCCTTCAAATGTTTCTCTTGAGTTTCTTTGAATTTTGAGACCATTTTCCCTTATTTTTAAGTATCTGGCGAAGCCTTGAGGTCTTTAAGAGCCTGACATCGTGAAGCTAGCAAGTCGGAGTTCTGCGAGCACAATTGCCGAACTTTTGTCTAGGGAATCTCTGTAAGTTAAATTACACTCAAAGTTGTGTTAGTGTAATTTATTTTTATATTCATACGTCGTTGTTATGAATATATAAATAAGATTTATCACTAATTTCAAGTCATTATACTGATTGATCTACTTACGAGGATGTAGCACCTGGTTCCTGGTACGTGAGTTTTGCCTTAGTACTTATGTTTTTGGCCGTGGACTCGGCGAGTTGGAGGCCCGACTCGCTGAGTAGAGATGAGACTTTGGGGCGCGGATAAGATGGCGACTCGACGAGTCCATATTAGGGACTCGGCGAGTCTGCATTGTTTGATGAAACCCTAATTTCCAAGGGTTTGCACCCTATTTAAACACCCATTTGCGCCCCAACTCTGCCCATTCACCCCCAGAAGCTCTCCATACTTTCTAGCTCTTGTTCTTGTGAGTTTGAGGCATTTTAGTGTGTGTTCTTGAAGATTTTGAGAAGGAAGTGGAGTAGATCAAGAGGAAGGGAAGGAAGCCAAGCATCTTAGTGTTCTCTCAGTGATTTCCTTGAGGTTAAACTCGTTTTCCCCTGTCTCTATGCTTATAAATCCATTAAAGTCTTCCTTGAGCCCTTCCCCAATCTTGTATGTGCATCATATTTCATAATAAGTTGATTGGCCACTAGATCTAGGCATGGTTGAGCTCCAGGAGCTCAGATCTACTACCTTTATGGACCCATATTGCATGAAGACCCTAGATCTACTCTTTTGGTGCATTTTGAACCCTAAAACCCTCATGGATGAATATCTACACGTAAAGTTGGAAAGTTTACGTGTTATTCATGCTCTAGGAACCCAGATCTATGAATGGAATGGACTAGATTCGAGCAAACTCGCGTATATGGCTCTTGCATGAAGCAGACTCGGTGAGTCGCTCATCTGACTCGGCGAGTCTAGTCGCGAGTCTCCGAGATTGTCCCCTTTTAGCTGTGTCGAGTTGTGTAGTGAGTCCAGGGTGGACTCGGTGAGTTGGAAGCCAAAACTCACCCATAATGGAACTCGACCAGTCGATGCCCAGACTCGGCGAGTTCAAGGCAATCTCCTTAGATCAAGAACAGACTTGGCGAGTTGTTCATACAACTCGGCGAGTCACAGTATAAATTGTTCATCGGATGAAGATGAACTCGACGAGTTGTTCATACAACTCGGCGTGTAGGATGAAGGACTTGAACATCAGTTTGGAAGAAGAACTCGTCGAGTCAACGCCTAACTCGACGAGTAGAAACAGAATCCAGGTCATTCGTTTGGACATGGACTCGGTGAGTTGGCGAGCCAACTCGGCAAGCCGGGTCAACTGAAAGTTGACTCTGACTTTGACTTAGGGCATGATCAGGGGTAAAGTGGTCTTTTTACCCAAAGGACAATTAGCATTTTTTGACTAAGTGTTTGGTGGGAATTACAGCCGGAGGATTTCCGGAGCAGCAGCAGCAGACAGACTATTCCCACACAGATCAGCAGCTACTCCGAGGTAAGTTGCCTTCCAGTAGCGGTGGGTCTAAGGCCACAATGTCGGCCCACCAGTAGGAGATGTATGATAGATGATTATCTTTGTGATATCATCTAGGTTTGCTACTACTTGATATGTTATATGCTAGCATGATATGTTGTATGTGATAGTAGTAGAGTTCGGTTGTTAGGACCGAAGGGCAGTCAGACACCCCAGATATGTTTGATATTATGTTTGTGTTATGATATATGTGATGGTAGTAGTAGGGGTGAAATAGTCCCCGAGGTTCGGTTGTTAGGACCGAAGGGTAGTCAGCACCCCAGAATAGCTCGACATGGGTAGGTCAGCGCCCCAGAATGGCTTGACACGGGTAGGACGGCACCCCAGAATGGTTGCACGGGTAGTCGGCACCCCAGAATGGCCGTACCGGGTAGTCAGGCACCCCAGAATAGCCTGGCAGTATGTATGTTATGTATTGTATGGTATGTGGTACGATAGGGGAACTCACTAAGCTTTGTGCTTACAGTTTACAGTTTTGGTTTCAGGTACCTCTTCATCGAAGGGGAAGGAGCTGGCACGGTAGCGGCACATCATGCACACACACTGGTTTCCGCATCTATTAGATTTCTCTGGGATATATACTCTGATATTTCGATTGGTTGTATGATTTGGCTTTTAGACATGGTTTACGTTGTGATGTAGTTTGATCAAACAATGTTTTTAATTATTAACGTTTTCTAAATTAATGTTTTAAAAACGAAATTTTTGGACATGAAAATTGGGTCGTTACAGAGGATGATGTCTAGGCTGGATTTAGTAAGGTGTTTAAAGTGAGATTTCCAAATAATATACTTTATATA